GAAAAATGCAGTGTGTTGTGATGTCGACTCTACAGTACATGCCCTATTTTCAGTGTTTATTGAATATTTTCTCACTTCCCCCTCACTGCACCTAATGGTCTTTAACTGGGTAATGAAATCTTTTTAGTTAATCTAAGTGGGCTATTTTATTCTGTATTTACTGCCTCTGCGATCTTAGTGCAACTCACATGGACAGAGTAGTGCATCATCATGCTGCGTTTGACTCCCGCTATGCTTATTAAAACACTGGAGTGAATCTAACAGAGTCTGTGTTCTGTGTTCCCTCTGCTCATCACGTCTACAGTGTGACGATGGAGAACGTGGCTCGGTTCAAAGGGCAGGAGTACTGTCTTCATCCCAAACTTCAGAGCACCAAGAATCTGGTGAAATGGTTTCGCATCTGGAAAGACAAGCACAGGTACATAACAAAAATAGTATTGGATGTGTGTAATACTAGGCCCGGTGTCTAGTATTTACTGTATTTGGTCCTTTTATTTTTTACATTTTATTTAATACTATATACATTTATTTTAGTTATAAGTTACTATTGTGCACTTATAAAGTCCTGATAAATTTAACTTTATCTTAATATTTTGATGTCTGAGGTTAGAAATGGCGTTGTTTTTTATCCTTTTGTCTTATTTTTACCTAAAAAATTATATATTTATCTTAGAAATCTTGTAAGATCTTAGACAACTTCAACCCAGAATTTACACAAACTATTTTATATTTATTACTTTTTAAGTAATGCCTTTAACTGTATACAGTCATAAAAATGGTTGGTTATTTTTTCTAAAATGAACATTGCTGTGAGCCAAACATGTCCAATGTATCAAATGATGTCAACAACAACTTAGTTTCCTTCTTTGATTTTGCCATAATGTTTTGTCATTTTATATTTTATTTCACCTCTTTATTTTATAATTCTGTCTTCATCTTTAATTAAAACACTGACAATCACTTTGATTGAATTAACAGTATTTTTTGTTTCTCAGGGTGTATGAAGCCTAAATACGGGCCTGTCGGCAGATGGGGGCTGAATGAGACAACCAAAAGCCACCATCACCAACAGGGCTGTTTGTGAAGCACGACCTTA